GGGAGGAACGGGGGGGCGGGGGGAGGTGGCGGCGTGCTGCCAGCGCGCAACGCCACTCGGCTCCTGCGGTTCACATGCCCCTTTCCGAGCCCAGTAAACCTGCCCTTCGCCTCGCTCCGAGCTCGCTCCGGGCTGCCGGCGCTCTATGGCTGAGCCGCCTTTGCCCTAAGCTCGGGCTGCATCTCCCTCCTCCTCCCTGTGATTATTTGCACAGGACATGTCCAGTACCTCCGGAGCGCTTTTAGTTTGCTCCCCCCCGCGCTCGGTGGGATTAATCTATCATTTCGGAGGTTATTTTCGGCAACCAGCCTCGCACCCGGGAAGACCGGCCGGAGGAAGAGCCAGGCGCTTTCGAAAGCGGCAGAGGAGGAATGCCAAAGCAGGGCAGCGGAGCCGGGTGGGAGTGAGCCGGCGGAGCACAGCGAGGTGCCACCCCGCAGAGGAGGAGAGCTGCCCTGCTACCTGCTCCCTATTTCTGGCTGCCCGCATGGCCTCCGGGCACTGTAGAGACTGTGGGGGCTGCTGCTGCTGAGCAACAATACATTGCTTTAAACTCAGCCTCAACTTACCACAGCAAGCAAGGATGGCAACACTACCGGAGCTTTGGAGCAGCCAAGAGAGCCAGGGAACCTGGGTTTTGTTTGCCACTGTCTAATAAATGGGAGTAAAATGGAATTTCTTACCTGGGTTTTTCCTGCCTTGGTTCTACTGTGCACCCAACAGCACAGGTGTATCAGGTAAGAAAACGCCTTATCCTTTCTTAGACTGGCCTTAGACAGCCGTTCTTGTGGTGTGGCTGGGGTGAAAAATGCCAGGTCTGGTGGTAGCTCCCACTCCACTTTTGCCCAGGGATGCTCTCCTCTTAAGGGCTACAACTGCTCTGAGTGAGTGTTCAGATCCCTTGCAAAAGGGATCTTGACTGAAGAGTTTCCTCAATGTGCTCCGTCTTTTTTTTTTTTTTCCCTTCTCCTTCTGTGCTTCTAGCAAAGGATGCACTTCTGCCAACGGAGCAGCAGTTTCTTGGGTTTATCAAGGGGTGCGTTTTAAACAGGATGCCTGTGGAAGCCTTTTCCCGAGGGCACCTACTCTAAATTGGGGGCAATCACTTTATGTAATGGCACTGCACATCCCAGTGCAGCCTCATCCCCTTAAACAGCTCTGTAGGGGGCCTGCTTGAACATGAAACTCTTCCATAAAACCCAGCACAACCAGTGGGGTACTAACCGAACATCTTTGCTTAGGGCCTCCACAGGCACAATTAAAAACCCCGAAATACAGACATTCCTTTCTAACGGGTTCAATAAGTCTCCTGAACTTGAGATAAGAGGAAGAGACTGGCAGAGATCTTAGAAAAAACGTTTGAAGAACGCCAACCATTTCTTAAAATTATAAATTGTGAAGATACATGTTTGCACTTCTCAGTCACATTTATTCAGAAGGTGTTAGCTAGGCAATCAGCTACGTTCTCTATATATGCTCTACAGATCTGGAGGCTGTATGTGGAGAAAGCTTGCCATGATTACGCAATGAAAACAGAAGGGGGAGTAAAAAAGAACTTGCTGCATGTAAAAACATGCCTACATCATCCAGAGCAGAGACGGCTGTGGTATTAAAGGGGTCTTCCTATTTCTACTTTATAGACATTATTAATAGCTTCAGAGGAGTATAAGAAGCAAAGTGATAATTGTAGTAAGACATAACATTGCTGTTACAGTTTTTGGAATTAATTAGTGAGATCTGATTTTTTCACTGGGAAGGAAAAAGATCTTGCATTAGAGGAAGTGTCAAGTCAACTGCTCTTATTCAGGACTGAAATAATGATTTATCCTATGACCTTGAATCTGTTACCCAGGGTCAGATCCTGACACGCTCATGCTCTGAAGCAATCCAGTATTCCAGTGAAGGCAGAGAAAATACTGCTTATGACCTAAGGGCATCAAGATCTTGCCCATAATTTCAATGATCCTGTTTCTCTCTCTGCACTTGGGCTAGCATTAAGTATTTTGGTTGAAAAGTGGTGTTTGAGTATACAAGAAGAAAAAAAAGAATTTTAATGAAAAGTCAGCCTTCTCAGCCTCCGTCTTCAAGGTCTGTTTCTAGGCACAGCAACTGCCAGGATATGTGCAACCTCAATTTGTTGGATAAATTATTTTGTATTTGGATTAATTACCTAGTTACTTGACTTTCTTCCTCCAGTTACACAACAGTGATGAGTTGCTTGTTAGAAATATATATACTCGTGGCGGAGAGGAAGGCAGGGCAAATTCTAGCTTGTGAAATTCCAATTGTTCAGTCTGTAGTAGTTTTCCAAATATGCCAAAGTGTAAGACATTCAGTGGTCAAAGAAAACTGCTTTGTTTAGTACAACAGTTTTCTGAAGAGTCAGGATTTAGCATGGCTATGGCAGAACATTATTTGATCTTGTAAAAACTGCGTAACCTTGCTTACATGTGTACTTTTGATGAGTTAAACAGAACTAAAGCAAAATTTTATTCTTGCATCAGTAAAATTACTCACACATAAACGACCTGTGAAATAATTCCCCTTTTAAGGGCCCAAGAAGCACATTAACTTCCTTATTGTTCTTCCTTGGAGTTTTGTAATATGATATTACATATAATTATTTTTGGTAAAAGATGCTTTTATGACGAGCAGTATTTTATTAATACTGTGGGTTTGTAATAATGGGCAAAACTGCCAATAGCTGTATTTTGTTGCTCCAATTTTGTTTTCTAAATGTAATGTGATTCATGGTTATGGTGACAGAGGCCATCCAAAACCACTAAGTTCTCTGCTTGTGAGTTCTATGGACTGTATATTGACAGGTGTAAGCAAACACATATTCAAAAAAGGAAGACTATTTCAGCGAGTTCTGAACTCAGTGATACGACATAAGACTTCCCAAAGGCAAAACGACCTATTAAAGTAATGTTAAGGTTTGGCAGAGGAGGGAAGTGGGGAATACATGTAGCCTGCTTCCTCACAGCATTTTTGAATATGGTGCTTTAGAGGGCTGTAATTGAAGCAATTTCTCTGTCATGTGTGCTATTTGACTGAAGTGAATGAGCCAAATTCAACCTAAGTCAGCACATCCTACTTATGCCAGTGCTGTTTTCAGGTAAACATTTTTAAAAAGTAGTATTTTGTGGTCTGCTTGAGACAGTGATTAGTGGCAAGAAATTTGGCGTTTATATGATTGACAGCTCTTTGGGGCAAAGAATGTAGCTTCCACTATTTTATCAGAGTTTGATATGCTGTGGATGCTGCAATAATAAATGTGTCATAGTGAATGAGATCATCTACTGAAACACACTTAGTGAAATATTTCTTCATTTGCGCGGGGCAAGAGTACTATTGATAGGAGTTTTGGGATGTATGTCTGCACTTTTACTGAAAGAGATTTTAATTCTCTAATTAAAAATAGGTGTATCTTTTATATTTAAGATTCTACTATGTTACACGACTTTTATACATTTGCATAGAATTGTCTTTCTGTTGCGTGTTTCCCTCAGCCTTTTACTTCTATTCATGGAAACAGAGCAGCTTTAACATGTGAATATATGCAAAGTGTGGTCCATTTTCTGTAGCTTAAAACTCACAGAGAGGAAATAAGGGCTTTGATGATCAAAAGGTTGCCATGAATTAAGCCTAATGCTTTTTCTATTACATTTCAAAATACAAAATGTATTTACAGTGAGCTCTCAGAGTCAGGAATGGCAGATGGGAAGGATACACATACTGCTCTGGATAATCCTGGAGTTTGACACAGGCCAGATTGTTCACTGACCTTGCACGATATTCCTTGTCTTTTTTCCAAGAAAAAGTTTTCTTGAGTGGCAATGACATCTGGGACATTTGCCCCCAAGAGCTTATCTCAAAGGAAATGAAATGTACTCCATCCCAGTCCTCAGTATCAGCCAAACTGGTATTTCCATCTACCAGGTTAAAAGATTGCTGTAACAACTATGTCACAGTCCCAAAAAGCATCAGGTTAGCAGATTTAAAGAAGAAACAGGAGATGCAAAAAGTGGTTTTCCACATCTTACTGCTATACATGTTTGTCAAAAGGTTAGCGCATTCTCCCTACAAGTGTGACCTAAAATCAGTATCTCATTGGCCACTGACTTAAAGATGCTGCTGAGCTTTTTGCACTGCTGTGCAAAAATAATATGGCTAATGTTATCTCTTGTTCAGCTGCTGTAGTGCACTCATTCACACATAACATATAGATTGCCTCTTTCCTTGGTGTAATTTAAATACTTACCAGATTTTTTCAAGTAATATTGATAGATTTCTAGCAACCATTTTCAAGCAGTGCTCTGGAAGATACTGAAGACAGGCTAATACCTCACTTGCCTGACAAGCCCTTTAAAGATATGCTGTCCAAGTTGATTGATGCTTCTCCTCCAGATCACTCCACATTAGTAGAATGCAATGGTCCTGTAGCAGCTGGGAGAAAGATGTCAGCTTGGATAGAAAGGATTTGGGGATATATGTACTTTTTATTCTAGAACTGATAGTACTTAGCTCTGAAAGAGATGCATTTCTTTGTCATGTGAGATTCATGCTTGGAGTTGCTTTCCCTAACCTGTGTCAAGGACAGTTTTGTTAGGCAAAGAAGAACTTCATAGTTTTGCCAGGTTTATCAATGGTGATTTCCTCTCCCCTTTGTCTAGCGTGCAAGAGAACTAACTGTTCTTTTAATAGTTTAAACAGCAGTAATCTGTTTTCTACTGCTAACAACGAGCTCTGTTGAAGCTCTCGCAATGCTTAAACTCCAGATATGGTCAGATGCAAATATATTCTCCAGAATATCTGCTTGAAATGAGATGTGTACAGAGTCAGAGTGTGGATGAAAACCCATCTTTTTCAGCTTTAGATTTGGGAATGACTTCCAGAGTGATATTAGTACACATGACTATGTTGCCATTCAGTCAGCTAGGCACCCCACTCTGGCCTGGTGCAAAGTAAAGGTAAGATTTTTGATGAGCTGTTATGCCCCTTGAATTTTACAAATCAATAGCTTAATTTTACAAAGTCCTTTTCTTACTAAAACAAGCTTTACAGCAGCTTACGTCAGGAAGTGAAGTTGCTGAATCAACTAATAGTAGTTTCCTTTCTTTTCATCTTTAATGCTTACACTATGAAAAGTTAATCCCTTCCAATGTGTCTTTTCTATGCTGGTCTTCCTCTTTCAGGTACAATAAATGAATAATATTTTAGGCCATATATAATCCCAACTGCTTATCAAGGATGAATGAAATTCTCCCACTGTCCTTCATGTAACTTTAAAGCACTGGATCTGATGTACAGGAGTCTAGAGGAATGGCTCAAAGAAGATATCACAAACTGGCCTGTAAAGTGCCATGAAAAGAAAGCTCTGCTTTCCAAAGTCATCATTTTTGACTGAGGACCGCTATACTATCTGCTAATATTCACACTTTTGTCTTCACCAGATAAAAAAGAAATGAAAATATTATAGATAGAATAATATTTTTGAGTTTGTTATTTCTCCTCTCCCTCAATATTCTTGACAGACAAAAAAGGGGAATAGGAGATTTCTACTATGCTGGAGGACCTGGGACGACTTTCGACCTAAAGAGCACATATCGGACTGATACAAGCAGAACTTGGACTCATTTATACCATGCTGAATCATACACCCAAGCATACAGCCCCTGCTACATTAGTTCTTATGTCTGTATTATTTCCCTTGCTCCATCAGCTGCCATGTCAGTCTGACAAAATGTAATTTGAAGAATATGGCTGTTTAAAGTGATCACTGGGTAGTTTAAAGGTAAAATATAGGTTCGCAGAATGGTTAAGGTCGGAAAGGACCTCCGGAGGTCATCTGGTCCAACCCCAAGCTCAAGCAGGGCCACCCAGAGCTGCTTGCCCCGGACCATGTTCAGATGACATTTAAATATCGCCAAGCAGGGAGACCACAACCTCTCTCAGCAACCTGTCCCAGTGCTCAGTCACCCTCACAGTGAAAAAGTGTTTTCCTGATGTTCAAGCAGAACCTCCTGTGTTTCAGTTTGTGCCCATTGCCTCTGGTCCTGTCACTGGGCACCACTGAAAAGAGCCTGGCTCTGCCTTCTTTATACCCTCCCTTCCTGTATTTATACACATTGGTAAGATCCCCCCTGAGCCTTCTCTTCTCCAGGCTAAACAGTCTCAGCTTTTCCTCGTATGAGACGTGCTCTAGTCCCTTAATCATCTGCATGAAAAAAGCCTAATATTAGCAAAAGCTTTTGGTAAGTCAGTGATAACTGTAAATGAAACTGTAGGTTATTCTGATTCACGTATCCTCTGTGAGTATCTAGGAGCCATTCTGTGAGCACCATGCTAGTGTGTGAGAATGGCACTAACTGAGTAAGAGTGATTTTGTTACCCATTTCAAAGAAATTTAAAAATGAACCAGTAGTATAAACATCAACAAAGTAAATCTAGCCATAAAATTATTTCAGCTGTAATACTTTAATAACCCCCCACTGGTATTAAGTGCATATAGCTCCACTAACTTCAACACATTTGTTACACTGATGATCTGACCCTAAGGCTTTATTAATAATAGAAACAAGATTGATTTTAATTGTGTCATGGATATTTAAGTAAAACTCCCTCTAGATTGTAATCTGCTTAAAACACATGGCAAGCTACAGCCCACAGTTTTTAACCCAACTTTTGTCATTTTAACTTCCTTTTAGCTCTGTGGCTCTCCTTAATGCCATTAAAATAGAATACTGACACAGGATAACTGCTGCATAAATGCTTTTTCAAAGAAGATGGGGCTCCTGGCAGTTCTTATAGTGACATTACTTCTTTTATAGCAAGTGACTAATTATAAGTCAGTTATCTGGGGATGAGTACTCGATGCACGCAAGTAGCAATACCTATTGTGAAAGGGGAGCAGCAGAATTTGGTTTTATTGTTTTTCTCAGGTTGAGTACTCATAAATATACATAGTATTCTAATTTTACAATGACTTGTACTTAGTACTTTCGTACTATTGTGAATGTAGGAAGCATAAGCTAGATTCTCCCATCCTCACAGATCGGGCATGCAAGATACGTCATGACGGTGCAGTCACCTTTTGACTGGATTATTGTTTTCAAAACACTTTACAGAACTTGGCTGCAGTTTTAGCAACAGGAGTCGAAAAGCACCATCTTCTACTGAAAAGGCAAAGAGACTTTAGGCAGATATATTAATTCAAGCGTATTCTAGTTATTTACTCTAATTACGGAAAGACTTAAAGTATCATTCTTTACCTATAAAAGGAGCTCAGATATTTTACTGATTAGGAATACCACTACGTATCTATGGCTGAGACTTACACGTTACAAATAAGTACAGTTTTAAACAAAATACTTTCAACATAGTCTCATATTCTCTAATCTCCCAAGGCCTTAATTAAAAAAATTACTTGTTTTCTGTATTAACTGATAGCCTTAGTATTTCCAGAAATAGGGTAGTGAATGTAAAAGAAAATAAATGAAAGAGTTTCTGAACTGCAATGTTTGATGGTATTGCAGAAGAAAGCCAGACCTTAGCATCTGGATCTTGCCAAATATTACAAAACTATAATTTCATTTAAGTAAATACTGACAGTTGGATGATTTGAAAGACCAGCACACAGGAAACAGCAGTCTGATGGAAAGCAGTGTTTATATAGTTGATGAGACCCAATAAAGAAGGGAAAAACTCTGTCAACATCTGTTATAAATCTTCAAAGCCCTTGTCTAAACCAATTATGTTATTCCAATTTATGTAGCTGAAAATATGGCTCTGAGTCTTCCAAGATCCTTACTTAGAAGAGATATAGGAACCTGAGAAATATCCGAGATAGTCATTTGAGATGAACATAGAGCAGTGTGCTCATGGCAAGGAAACATTATAAATGCAATTTACTATATATCCCCAATTTTAATATTCTGCTGTGAACTAATGACATTTCACTTTGGAGCAGCGTCCCTATGCTTTAAGGTCACTTAAGCTTTGACAGCTCCGTTAATGCAAGTTTTCAGTGTCTCTGCTGCTCAGAACTTACATTTATACATTGTAATCCCAGAACTCCTTCCTTATATAATCGACTCCATACATGTGGGGCAAGAACTTTATGACATGGGCAATCAAAGATTTTTCCTTCAGTCCCCTGTGAGAAGAAGAGTTGGTTATTGTAAGATACTCTGCTACTGCGCTAGCAGTAACTGCATGTGCTGAGCTGAATGCCCAGACTGGCATATTTTGGAGAGAAAAAACATGTGCTTTATGTGGGTCAATGTCGCATGAACACTCTAAGAAAGTTATGTAAGTACCAAGGCAGAATATGTTTATGGTGTATCACTCTACAGCCTTTCATCGCTGTTTAACGGGTTTCTCTTCTGTTACTAGTGATATATATCTCTCAAATGCCGTATTTATTGCTGGACTCAGTGGAAGATGCTAAGCCAGTGCTCAGACTGTTTTGATATAGTACTTGCATTCAGATACAGGCCCTCTCAAACCACTGGCAAATTTTCTCTTTGCAAATAGTTGTGGTAGACGTTGTCACAGTCCTTCATTTATCTATTCCTGTCATGTCAGTCACAGTGCTGGCAAGAGGAATTGTGTGAGGAGGCACAGATCTGCTTCAAATGAAGTCTGCTAGTTCAGTTTAAATAGTTAATGAAGACAATATAAGCTTGCCTTTGTTTATAGGAGATTATGGAATATCCACCTAACTCCTTGTACCAGGAGGGTTGAGGGGCTGGCATCTGCCAGGTGGTGGAAAATGGCAACAAGAAACGGTGCTAATGTCTTCAAGGAGCATCACTGGATCAGAAAGAAGCATATGCCTAGCACCTGAGAGATGGAGCCTTATTTCTGGGAGGGGGACTGTGGCATGCTGCATAAATCTGACAGCAACGTATTACCTCCCAAACAAAACCTACTGCCTGTTTGGTGGCTCACTCGGGTCCCAAGAGTGATTACAAAAGGATGCATGCATTGTGGCATCCCACACTCCTGACCTGAGGACAGATGGCCAAACACCCACGCTGCCTGATGCTGGCAAGTGCAAAACAGCACAAGCAGGTGAGCTGGAGCCCTCCCGGCATGGTGGAACCATCGCTATATGCCCAAAACTCTGGGGCACCTGCGGGACAGAGACATTTCAGTGCTATAGAGACCTCACTTACTGCTCAAGACCATGGACAGGAATGGCCCCAAATCCAGAACCATAGTCAGGGCTCTTGCCCCTGCATTTCTAGGATCATGGAGCACACCTCAGGTTCCAGGACAATGGTCAAATCCTTCAGGCTCACCACTATGGGCAGCTCTTCGCAGTGCAGAACCATGGGCCCCTCTTGAGGTTTCTGGAGGCACCTGAGTCGCCTGGACTGTAGACAGCTACCTCTTTGGCTCAGAACAAGGGAGAACTACTGGGGCTTTTGGGCGCCATGGACAGCACCTCCCGAGTTCCAGCACCACAGCCTGCTCCCGACGAGGTTTGAGTCTGGCCTACAGGCAGCTCCGTGCCGGGTCAGGGCCGTGGGGATGCCCCCTTTGGTGCTTCCGTGCTTTCAGCTGGTCACTTTTTAAGCAAGATCTCCTTTTTGACTGTATCTTTGCAGTTTTCAGGTGTTTGTACACCTTCTATTAGCATTGCTTTTCATATTTCTGAGGCCCAATGGTACTTTTGGGGGCCATTATTATGGCCCCCAAAATCCAAATTCCAGCCGTGTAATTTTTACTGTTTTCCCATCATATTTGACAATATACCAGCCTTCTTGATCTCAGCTGTTCCATAGTGGTACTAGGAGCTGTCACAGCTGCTGTGTCCTGCTACCCAGATAGCTGCATTTCAGCATCCACAGATGCATTTTATGCAGTATACAAAGTATCTTGGTTTCCCTCATGCTTTCTTTACATATTTAAATCTTTTTTTTTCCTACTTTTTTTTTGGAAAAGAAAAAACCTTAAAAAAGTATGTGCTTGTATTTCAGAAAGAGGCCATAGTCTTGCCTGAAATATGTTTTGATTTAAACAGAAGTATCTGAAATGGTTTTCCTATCTATATACAGTGTTTTTCCACTAAATTATCAATATAACTGATTATACTCCAGGTGGTCTCTGGTGTAAAAGAATTCAATGTCTTCCATTTTCTGTTATTTTTCTGTTTGTAAACATGGCCAAGTTTTAAAAGATACTTATTCTCTTTACCTAGAGCTATGAATGACATCGGAGATTACATAGGTTCCAACATCGAAATATCCTGGTTACCCAACCTGGATGATTTAATGAAAGGGTATGCACGTAATTTCAGGCCTGGGATTGGAGGTGAGACTTTGAGAGTAATGTCTCTTTTGTTTCTTACAATCCTTCTACCCTCTGATGTTTATGTGAACCTCATCCTCTACATGATTAAAAGGTTGTGGTTGCCTATTACTTGGATACTGGAAATAGTAACAATCAACAAGTTGTTTGATCTTGAAAAAAGACAGACTGTACAACAGAATTAGCAACAGAGCCTTCTTGCTGATACAGTTCTTAAATCACTGATTTCTCAGTTGAAGGAATTTTGGATTACATTAAGTGGTGATAATTTCTGCATTTGCTTGAAGTCATGCTGTCTGAAACTAGATGATGTAGTTTCCAGAAGGGTCTCCATAATTTTCAGTAGTTGTGATTGTATCTCATGTCCTTTATCACTGAAGCGAGGTATTCTGTTGGAAATTGAGGACACAATCTGTAAAAGATTTAAATCTCTTTGCCCTGAGGTCGATTTACTTGGAAAGTGTACTTTATCATGGAAAACAGTTTTATGAATTCACTCTGTATGAAAGGTTTAACAGTCTCGGGTCATCTGTATTTTTATAGGTACTATGATGATGTAAATCACCCCATTCAAACATTTTTTCTCAGGTCCTCCTGTTAATGTTGCTCTTGCAATTGAAGTAGCCAGCATTGACCACATCTCAGAAGTGAACATGGTACGTGATCAGTTAAACCTACCAAGTTGTGAATGTATGTACTGCAATGACAGAAAGTGCAGAAAACTGACTAAATAGAGAGACAGTTGATCCCCAACACATTTGGAGTGGAGAAATTACCGCAAGAAGCTACTACAAAGAAGAAACGTATTTTAAGACACAGGCAGAGTCTCTTCTGGCAGACACTGGCAATTACAAGAATCTAGCCATGTATAAGTCACTGAGATTTCTTACTACAGTTAGCAAGTTTGGATCTGTGCAGCACTTACTAACAGAAAGCCTAATTTTAAGCATTAACTCCAACTTCTGTTCAAATTCTTTTTCACCACAGATACTTCCAAAAAGAAGCTAAGTGCACGATTGGTTGTGAGAGGCTCCTCCTTTTTGTGTAAAGACCTTTCAGTAAAGCAGTGGAGTATAACAACTTACAAGTCGCATAAACTAGCATAGGCATGAATTAACTGCATTTCTGAAACACAATAGATTTAATTTTAAAACCAAAACTTTGACTTTCCCTCCACCCTTTCACTTCATTACAGATACATAACATCACCTGATTTTTTAGTTTTGTTTTAAAAAACCTTCAAAAACAAAAGTTGTACTTGTGGAGATAAATAAACTGATTTCCTTCATTAAGACATATGCAACTCTTGCAACATGTTATATGTAACACTGACATTGAATCACTTTTTGATATCTTGGTTTTATCCATCGTATAAGCATATGACAGAAATAAAAATGCTTGGGCAGCTCTATGGTTGTCTGAGTATAAAAATACTAATTTGCACAGGAAACAGTTAATACATTTTTAGGCTAATACAATGATTTTTTACCAAGTCCCAAGGCGTTATCATTGTGTTTGTTTAGCATAACTTTTTAATTGGGATTTCTCTTGTCATAGGAATATACCATGACGGTATTTTTGCACCAGAGCTGGCGAGATGACCGTCTGTCTTACAACCACACCAATGAAACTTTGGGCTTAGACAGCCGGTTTGTGGACAAGCTCTGGTTGCCAGATACTTTCATAGTAAATGCCAAGTCTGCCTGGTTCCATGATGTGACTGTGGAAAACAAACTTATCAGGCTCCAACCAGATGGAGTCATTTTATACAGCATCAGGTGAGTGAGAAAGAGTGCAAGTGTACTCTATCATGTATTAACTTTCTGAACAGACTATAAAGTAATCACTCAGTTTTCCTAGGATGATTTCCTAAAATAATTATTAATTAAAAGCAGAAGAAAGTACTGGTGACTCCTATCAGAGATCCCTTTGCTTTACGAGGATTACACTGCCAGGAAGGTATCTTTGGCAACACTAACACTTTTCCACTGCGTAATCACTGATCGCTTTCAGGATGTCCTTAATGGGAAATAAGCATCTCATAACTATTTCGTCACCAGGCAAGGAGATGCTGAATACAGAGCAACGATTCCGTTCTCCACTCTTTCACTATTTTCCAAGGGAACTATGAGCCTGATTTAGGCTCAACTTCCCCATCTTTCAAACAGAGAAAGTAGTATTTCCTCACTTTGGAAGAGTGTTCTTGCTAGAACTCAGTAACTATATTTGAAGTTAATTGTGTAATGTTCTAAAAATTAATGAGTGTGCCCCTTTGAAATTGTAAGTCCAAAGTCACCCTTAAGGTATTGGTAGTGATCTTGGGGACAGTGGAAGGGAGTAGATTTGACTCAGAAAAGTCCTTTTTATCATCAGAAGTAGCTGAAGCGTCCTCTGACATTAGACAAGTCATTTGACCTTTCTTCAATTTCCCCCCACCTTTGGGTTTCCCACAGACTTGGTAAAGACAATAGCCATAGGATTTTGAAAATAGTTTCCTGTATTAGTATTAAGGTTTCAAAGTTTTCCATTTAGTCTTAGAGTTCCGAGGAAAAGGCTTTATCTGAATGCAACTAACTGGTGTTCACGTTGCTTGGAACAGGATTACCTCAACAGTGGCCTGTGACATGGACCTTTCCAAGTATCCAATGGATGAGCAAGAATGCATGTTGGATTTGGAGAGCTGTAAGGGCTGAGTACAGTGTTTCATATAATCTGTATTTTGTTTAAAGCCTGCATATATGGTACTTAGCTTGCTGGAGTTTGCTGGAATGATTCTGCTTTAGTCAATGATGTAAGGGGGTGCCTTAGGATTTAGAAATAAAGGGTACAAACATGAATCCTTTCATTCTCTGTGTTGGGCCTTAGACTATGGACTTTTCAATACCAGTTCAGCTCTGATCCAATTCAAAACTATAGGATTTAATTTAGTGAAGATGAACAACCTACAGTCCTGCTGACAAATGTCTGGAAGTTTGTGCTTCATGTAAAACCTAGTGCAGTTGTGACAGTCACTGGCATTACTGAGGTTTGCATCCAATCCAGTGAGAATAAGTAGAGAAGCCCACAGGCACAATTTGATGTGCTATTTTTTCTTTATGAGAAAACAGGAAAAAGAAAGAATTCCCTCTTTTAATGAATGCCATTGTGACTAACTCTTACAGCTGTTTAGCTTCCCTGGGCAATAGAAATCAATCAGAATACTGCAAGGATTGGCTTAAATTCATTTGTACTCACAAAGGAGAGTGAAGAATGAATTTATATTTTGTCCAACCTGTATTTTATCTCTGATCAGCATGTAATTCTCATGAGCATTAATACTTTTGAATGAAATTCACCACTGACACAAGCAGGGGCCACCGAATCAATGGCAATGAATCCAGTCTTTTGTGGTTTTTCTATCAAGAAGTCTACAGGTCCTGAGGGTTCCAGAGATTTGTGAATAGCAGTGTCTGAGCAGATTCACTGGCCTGTTGATGCAAGTTTCTCTTTTTCTGTTTTAGTACTGACTTTGTTTTCTAGGCAATTAACCACAATACCATTTTATCCTGTCAAAAATAGCAATCTACAGTTTCACTTATGTAATCACCAAATGCAGAGGCAGCAGACAGTGAACCAGCAATCAGTTCTCTCTCCCAGCAAGTTCTGCAGGGAGTTTTGGTGGTGGTTGAATTTTTTAATTGAATTTGAGGGTTTTGATTTCAGTGAAACAAACATGTAGAAATAAAGCCTCTTTAAACAAATGAATGGTTTAGTAGCAAGTTGTCCATTAACAGCAAACCCAGCACAGATTGATTTCCTATGGATTTGCATATTAAATAAATCCCTCATGCATATCCCCTGCAGGTGCCCTGCACCTCTCCCTAGCAGTTATCTTCCAGCTGCCACCCATGCCAAACTGCAGTCATTAATAGGCTGATATACACGGTGATTGTCAAGCTAGCTGGTGCATCTCAGAATGGACACGGGTCTGAGTTGTACTGCTGTTCTCTAACTGGATGCACAAATCTGATTTTCTGTTCTCTACACACCATTTCTTACAAAACTTTCAAGAATCTAGCATCTTTGAAACCTTTACCTTTTTGTCATTTTGGTTTGAAAATACTGAGGAATTTCAAAAGTTGTTAGGAGGAGAACTGACAGAAAAACACAGGCAGTTTGCATAGGCATTGTTTTCTGATTAAACTACTTTAAGCCTGCGGGAGGTCCTAAGAGTTGTTTCCCAGAGTGGGGATTCGTATGAACAATTCAGCTGTATACTTCACTTTCATGCAGTGTCCATTTGTAAAAGCACTGTAGGGTTTGCAAAGGGAGATATAGAGCCAACTGAACACAGACTTTTTGAGGGCACTGGGGGAACCCTTGACAAAGGAAATCTGTTTCCCCGACACTGCCTGACTGGTACAGAGTACCTATCTCATAAAATCAGTGTGTGAAATTGGAGATAGACTTGCAGTACAGAATTGCACTCTGATCTGTCTTCAGTAGGATAGGCATAGATAGATTAGATTTAGTAGTTATTTTCTTTTACAAACAGAAATTGCTTTGACTCTGAGATCCAAGCACAGTGCCAGGGGTAAGTAAGCTAGTTTGAGTGCTACAGTAACAGTAACTCTACTTGAAGTGAGTATGCAAATGAGCTTTTTGAGAGATAATTTGAATATTTCTCATGACACTGAAGTGCATTGAATACACTAAATTGGAGAGACATGGATTTGATGGGTGGACCACTCAGTGGATAAGGAATTGGCTGGATGGTC